ATGAGCGAGAAGCAGTTGTTGCTCGTTCTGTTCCAAAGCGCGATAACCGACGTGTCCACGATGTTCACGAAAGTTGCCACGATGGCGGGGAAACAAGAGGAAATGGTGCTGCGCTTCGACGCGACGATGGACGACAGCTTAAACAAGTTGCAGCTCGGCCAGATGCAGCTGATCAAGTACTACAACATGCTCGCCAGCCGCCGTTTTTTCGCGCTGAAGCTGATGGCGGTGCTAGCCGGCTTTGCCCTTTTCTTTATCGCTTTTATTGCGTAGCGCGGGACGGATGACTACGCTGCCTGCGCGGTCAATCGGCCCTGAGTGCAGCTGCTTCGCAGCCTTGCGCTGCTGCTTAAGTTCCTGCCGCTCGCGTCGCTTTTCCGCTAGCGAGTGCGCCTTTACTCGCTGCCGCGCGCTGCGCCGCTCTGCTCCAGATGCAGCTGCCGCGTTCGTCGACGAAGCGACCGAGACGCCGAGCGGTTCTTGGACGCAGGGCCAGACTACGTCAAAGCGCAGCGCACTTACCAAAGTAGCACTTCACCGACAGGTCGTTTTTTTGAGCGCGCGTCAGCTCGTGCAAGTCCACACGTTCAACGCAGTTGCCCTCGTACAGTTGCGGGTCCGGCGCGCAGACGTGCGGTGCGTCGACCGGCTTGTAGCCGATCGGGCATGCGAAGTAGTCCAATGTGCAACGAGTCACGTCCGGCGTCGCGTTCGCCTCTGCGCACGGGTACTGCGTTTTGCAGGTGAAAGCAAAACGAAGCAGATCGCCGTGGCTGAAGTTCGTGACGTCCAGCTGCTCGAATGGGCAGGCTAGCTCGCGCTTTGCTCGACAGATAAACGCGTCGCCGTGGCGCTCTAGCATCCAGTTTATCGGACAGACGGCTCTTAGATCTGGCGTGCAGCTCGGCGCCGTTCTGGACGAGCGCGGCTGCTCCGCCTCGAGCATGAGGGTTTCGAGCTGTTCAAGCTATCTGTGGTGCCCGCCAACGTACCTCTTCTGGCTTGAAAAGCTCGAGAGCCTCAGGGTGTTCGTAGTGCGGAAGCGACACTTCAGCCCACGACGTTATTGCGCGAACCAGTAGGCTACCCAACAGCACTAAGTGGGATCGCATGGCTGCATTGCGGTTTGTCGCTATTTATGATCTGATCAAAATTATATAGTGATAAAGCGTGGCGGCGGCTGCCGCGCGAATTGCGGTTTGCGCGCCGCACCTCGCTTTCGGTGCAGCGTGAAAGCTCGCCTGCAATTACGGTTTTGCGCTGCGCCGCCATTTCCGTTGGGAGCAGCAAAAGGAAAACACAATTTAGATTTGCTAGCGACGCATTTGGAAAACTACGAGTTTTGACTGCAAAACTAGCTTTGCCAGCTACGCGGCCCAAAGACAGAAACGCTTGCGTCTGATGGACTATGTACTTTCGCCGTCGTTTAGATATAAGATCGGCCGCGTTCTGGGCAACGGTTCGTTCGGAACGGTGTGCGAAGCGATCTGCGAGGAAACCGGCGAACACGTGGCAATCAAGAAAGTGCTGCAAGACCCTCGCTACAAGAACCGCGAGTTGTCTGTAATGATGCAGTTGCATCACCCGAACATCACGCGACTGATCGACTACTGCTTTACCGAGGCGCCGAGTGCGGACAACGGGCAGCCGCAGCGGTACCTGAGTTTGGTGATGGAGTACATGCCGCAGAACATGTACAACATCATCAAGGAGTCGAACGCGCAGGGGCGCGCCTGCTGCATCGATTACAAGTACATTCAGCTGTACACCTACCAGATCTTACGAGGACTGGGCTACATCCACTCAATAGGCTTGTGCCACCGCGACTTGAAGCCGCATAACATTCTGGCCGACCAAAAGACGCACATAGTAAAGCTGTGCGACTTCGGCAGTGCGAAGCGGTTGTTCCCTGGCGAGTCTTCCGTGTCGTACATCTGCAGCCGCTACTACCGCGCGCCGGAACTAATGCTCGGTTCGAACGAGTACAACTGCGCGATCGACCTTTGGTCAATGGGCTGTGTGTTCGGCGAAATGATTTTGGGCAAACCGCTGTTCGCAGGGCGCACGAGTGTGGAGCAGCTCGTCAAAATTATCCAGGTGATGGGTTCGCCGAACTCCGTCCAGATTTCGGAAATGAACAAAAAGTACGCGAACTTCAGCTTTCCGCCTTTTCCTTCGAAGCCGCTCTCGATACTTTTCGAAAGCAAGGTGGACGTGAATCCGCACGCTATCGAGTTGGCGAGCGCGCTGCTGCAGTTCGTGCCGAGTCAGCGCATCAAGCCGTACGAGGCGCTCGCGCTGCCGATTTTCGACGACTTGCGCGACGAAGACTTCCGGCTCCCGGATGGCAAGCGCCCGCCGCCGCTGTTCACCTTCTCGGAGCACGAACTGGCTCAGATGAGCGAAAACACGCGCGCCAAGCTGGTGCCGCTTTGGGTGACGAGGCAGAAAAATATAAACTAACCTGCCGAATATCGCAGTGCGCAATTTAATGCACGGCTTCTAAATGTTTAACTAAAATTCTAATCTATTGCACGCCCGCGCAGGCGCTGTGACAATCAGAGCTGCGCGGAGCCGCGAGCGACAGGCGAGGCTATGAGTCGGCGCAGAAGAGCTAAAAAGCAGAAGCAGACGAAGCTTGTCCGCGAGTTGGACGATACAGTTCAGTCGTTGCAGAGCTATAGCTGCAACAATGCGGCGGAACTTGAGCGCGTGATGCACTCGTGGATGCAAGTGCCGCGATTTATGCTAGAGGTCGCCGGATTCAACCCTGCGCGCGACCTCGCAGCGCAGTACCACGGCTGCACCGTATTGAACCAGAAGTTTCTCGATCTCATTGCGAGCGTGGCGTCAGACTACCAGCAGTCTGATACGCCTGTCGCGTCGCTCGAAAAGCACCCGATCGACGCAGTGAGCCATTCGCACATCATCTCGCTGCTCGTTCAATTCGCGCGCGAGTGGGCCGCCGTGCTCGCAGAGGAACGGAAAGGCTGCTTCGAACCGCTGCTTGACGCGTTGCTGCAGCACTTTCCCGACCACTTGACGCTGCCAACCCGGGTGCTAGTGCCAGGCTCGGGACTTGGGCGCTTGATGCTCGAAGTAGCCGCGCTCGGATTCCACTGCCAAGGCTGCGAGTACAACTACTTCAACTTGTTGGGAGCGAATTTGATGCTGAACTACTGCATTCCTGTCGACGAGATCGTCTTCTGTCCGTTCATGCACTGCTCACTAAACCAAAAGACGCATGACAACCGCTTCAGACAGTACCCTCTCCCGGACGTCTGCGCGGCGGAGATGGTCAAAGGCGCAGGCTCGCTAAACCTCGTTGCTGGCGAGTTCGTGCAGAACTATCACGCGCAGAACGCGGAGTGGGACGCCGTGTTGACCGCGTTTTTCATCGACACTTCGCGCAATGTGTTTTTGTACGTACTGGTCATCGCCAAGATCACGAAGCCCGGCGGCTTGTGGGCGAACTGCGGTCCCTTGCTGTATCACCACTCGGGAAGCGACAAAGCATTGAATGTAGATGTGTCTGCGGACGTGTTGCTGCAGTACGTGCAGCAGTTTTTCGACGTAAAAGAGCATTACTTTAAGCCTCTGACTTACACGCACGATGTGAACTGCATGTCCGCGACCGTTTACGACTGTCTGTGCTTCACCGCTGTGCGCAACTCTACGCCTGCGGAACTGCGCATCGAGGAACACCGCGACTGGATTGAACTCGTAAACCACTAGTGCTCCTCGTGTGACGTGGCGTGTGCGCCGCTTGTTTGCGCAAATTTTCTTCGAGTTTTTCTGCGCGCGAGTTGGCGGCGCGACTCGCGCTTGCGGTTCGGTATTACGGCGATCGAGTTTTTTGACGGCTCGACGCGAATCGGGTGTCGCAGAGCGAAACCCAGCACAGCGGAGTCGTACGGTTCAGCGTTGGGTTCTGCGGCGGCGCGTCTGCGACACGCATAGCTTTTGAACGCTTCATGCGCTAAAAGCGTCAGCGGTTTCGACGCTGCCACGCAGTTGAGAATCTTCTCGTTTGTGATGCCCCCCGACAAAGCAGGCAGCGCCCCGGCAGAGCACATCTTCGGGTCGGCAGCCTGCGCCGCGGCCGGGACTAGCGCGACGACGCTGCAGCCGCGTAGCTGCAGCTCGACTACGACCCGCAGCGCCTCGGGAGAGGGGTCAACCAGCAGAAAACACAGCGACGCGGCGTCGCGCGCGGACTTTGTGTGCGGAGAAGTGCTCCCGCCCTCGCGAGTTTGCTCATCGCCTGAAAAGTCTGTCCGCTCCCAGAAGCGTTTGTTGTCCAGCTCGTCGTAGGTTGCGAACTGCGCGAACGTTGCGAAGTTAGGGAGCAGACTTTGCGAGAGTCCGGCCCAGAGTCTCGTCTCTGCGTCGCACGCAGAGACCGCCACGGTGCGCGCTCCGCGCAAGCCTCTGCGCAGCAGCAGCGCCAGCAGCGTCTGCAACCGCTGGTTTAGCGAAGAGTAAAAAAATGCGGGGAGCGGCCCGTCTTTGCGCCGCATAAGCGTAATGTTTTTAAAATCGCAAAAGGGCAAAATGCAAATCAAGTTGACGGCTGCGCTGTACGAGGGTGAGGAGAAAATTTTCGAGACGCGCGAGCAGTGCGACTCGGCAGGTCTCGATCCTTTTTTCGCGACGCTGAGCAAAGAGCTAGATAAATTGGAAGTGTCGCAATTAAAATAGGATATAATTTAGCGCGAGAGGTTCGAACGGCTATGAACAGCGACGGCGAGTATGAGTTGGTCAAAGAGTTTCTGGCGAACTACTACAAAGTGCTGAGCAGGAAGAATGCTGTGCTTCCGGCACACTACCACGCGGAGGCGACAGTTGTGTACGCAGGTAAGTGGCGCTGCGCGCGACACAGGTGCTTGCGAGGAGAACGACGTGCATTTGAGCCGAGGGCGAAACGAGATCTCAGATTTTTTTGGCTGCAGCTTGATGCAGCGCTTCGCGCGCGCGTCGATCATCGTGCAGGGCTATCACGTGCAGCGGTTGCCAAACGCCTCGCCGAATGCAATGATTACGGCGCGCGGGCAAATCACGCTCGCGGCGACGTACATGAGCTACGAAGCGGAGTCGTCGTTGTTCACGCACTGTTTTGTGGCGCGCATTGAGCCGAGCGGCGACGTGAAGCTTGCGCGCCCGCGCGTGTTGGTGTACTCGGAGTACTTTTCTGCGTCGCAGGTCGCGCTGATCACGGACTCTCTGAAAATGGAGTGCCAGCCGCTGCAGCCGACGGTCGAGACGCGCGCGAGCACGACGACCGCGCAGCCGGTTAGCGCGGAGGACGAGCCGGCAAACCGGCTGAAGACGTTTGCAGTCTACGTGCAAAAAGACCAGGACTTCGCGGCGCTGCAGAGAGTTCCAAAGAAGAGACTGCTTGAGGCGCTGCAGCACAATTTACGCGACAACGGGATCGTCGACACGATGTTCCGCCCGTGCGCGGAGAGCGAAGCGGTGATGGAGTTGGTGGTGTCGAGCAGCACGTTTTACTCAGGCGAGATGCTGCGCAACTTGGCGCCGTTCACAGTGGAGTCTGTGCAGATCATGCCGCGGCTGCACGGGCGCTCGGGACGGCCGCCGCGCAGAAGCGGCGTGTTTGGCGCCGCGCGCGAAGAGAAGCGGAAGGGCGCGCGCGCGGACGCCGACTCCGCGGCGCACCCCGACACGAAGGCCGAGCGCGCGGCTCCGGCGGCGCGCAGCGGCGCCAAAAGCGCGAATTATAAAAAAGAGCGCAAAGATTGAGCAATTAAAAAAGATGGCCGCGGCGGCGGAAGAGGCTGCGGACGCGGCGCGCGAGGTGCTCATCGTCAGCGACGGCGACCTGAGCTTTTCGCGCGCCGTGCTCCGCGCGCTCAAGTTTTGGCGGAAAGCCGAGCGCTACGGTCTCGCGCGCACGCACCGGCGAGCTCTTGCGAACCTGCTGCCGCGCGAGGTGCTGCAGCGCATTTTGGACGGCGCGGAGCTCGCGCGTGAGGCGCGTTTCACGGTCACTAACTACGAGTCGGAATCTGCGCTGCTCGCGAAGTACGCGAACTACGCGAGCAACCTGCACTACCTGCGCACGTCTGCCGACGTGCCGTGCGAGGTGCTCCACGGCGTGGACCTCACGGAGCCGCGCTGCGATTGGGCGGCGCGCTTCGACCTCGCGATCTGCAACCATCCGTACACGGCGGGCGGGGCCGCGGCGAATGCTGCGCTTTGCGCGCAGCTGCTGCAGCGCTTCGGCGTGTGGCTGAAGCCCGCGAGCGGTGCGCTGCTCTCGCTGTTGGGCGCGCAGTTCGAGACGTGGGCGGTCGAGTCGGCGGCGGCCGCGCAGCGGCTGCGCGTGACCGCGGCGGAGCCGCTTTTCGAGCAGCTGCCGCGCGTGTTCGCGACGCGCGGCTCGACTGGCGGCTTCATCCGCAACAGCGGCGCGACTCGGCGCGGTGCAGATTTGCGTTCGCAAACGTACTTTTTCCGCAAGGCCGCGGCCTAGCGCGCGGCGCGCCGCGCCGCGAGCGGCTTGCTTTCCGCGCCGAGCTTCGCGAGTCTGGCGCCGCGGCCGAGCGCGAACTTCGCGGCCTGTTTGCTGAGCTTTGCGGTAACTTCGCGCTCGAGCCGGTCGATTTCGTCGGAGACTTCTTCGAAGAGGCGCGCCTTGCTTTGCAAGTTCGCGCTCAGCTCTGCGTTCTCGCGCTGCAGAGCCTCGATTTCAGGCGCAGCGCTGCGCGCAGCGAGCTGTTGCTGCAGCTCTGCCACGCGCTGCGCGAGCTCGCGCAGCTTGCGCTCTGCCTCGCGTTCGCGCAGCTGCAGCATGTCTTCGTAGTCCTTCACGCGGCCGAGCAGCTCCGCGGCGTGTTTCTCGTTGAGCTTCGCGAGCGCCTGCTCGGAGCGGAGCTGCAGCTGCGAGGTCCGCGCCTGCAGCGCGGCGAGCTGCTCTTGCTGCCCGGCGAGCTCGCGCTCGAGCAGCGCGTTGCGCTCGCGCTCGTGCTGCAGCAGCTCGCTCAGCTGCGCGTGCTGCGCAGAGAGTCGCTCGGTTTCTTTTTCGGCGGCCGCGAGTTGCGTCTTGCTCGCGACGCACTCGCGGTAGAGCGCGAGGTTGGCCGCCGCGTGCTCCTCGAGTGCAGCGCGCAGCTGCTGCTCGTTCGCGGCGCTCCGCGCGTTCTGCAGCGCGAGCTGCTCGAAGCGCTCGTACGTGACGCCTGCCTTCTTCAGCTTGCACATTTCTTGCGTGTACACGTCGTCGTAGATCTGTTTGAACAGCGTCGTGAACTGCCGCTCCATCTCCACCTTCTCCGCGGCGAGCGCCTCCGCCTTGCGGCGTAGGGCCTCCAACGCGCGCGCGCAGTCGCCGCGACAGCCGCGCGGCGCAGCCGCGCGCGCGGCCGCGGCTTCCGCGTCCGCGGCTTCCGCGTCCGACGCCGCCTCCGCTTCCGACGCCGCCGCGTCCGCAAACGCGCTGGCGCCAGATTCGGAGAACGCGGTCGATGTCCCGCAAGCTCCGTCCGCTAGCTTGCGCGCGGCGGGCGGCGGCGCAGCGGTTTCGGCCGCGTCACGCGCACGCGGCAGGCGACAGTCCGGCAGCGACGCGACACGGTCCACCCAACGCAGCCACGAGCCGTACGCACCATCGTCCCCGTCCATGTCGGCGCGAACGGGGCTGACCGATCGTTATTTAATTGCGATTATTCTCGAGAATTAAATCGCCGAGCAGGCGCGCGGCGACTTTCGCTTCCGCGGCGTTCGAGCCCGCCAGCGCCGCGCGCGCGACTTTCATGCATTCCTCCAGATCGTGCGCGCGCTTGCCGTCCGCGGCAGCACGCGCGGCTTCGAGCCGCTCCGCCCCGAGCGCGAGCAGTTGCGCGAGCTCTTGCCGCGTCTCGCGAAGCGAGACCGCCTGCGCGTCTGCGGCCTTGTGCAGCTCCGCGTCGCGGACCATGCGCTGTACTTCTTCCTCGCTCAGGTTGTTCGATTCCTTGATCGTCAGACTGCGCGCGAGGTGGCTCGCCTTGTCCGTCGCGGTGACGTCGAGGATGCCGTCTGCGTTGATCTTGAAGGTCACGTCGATTTGCGGGACGCCTTTCGGCAGAGGCGGCAAGTTCGCGAGCTCCACGCGGCCGAGGAACTTGTTCTCCGCCGCGAGGTCGCGTTCGCCTTGGAACACGTTGATCAAAACCGTCTCTTGGTTGTCCACGGCAGTCGAGAACGCGCTGGTCTTTGCGACCGGCACGGTCGTGTTGCGGTTGATCAGCCGCGTGAAGATGCCGCCCATGGTCTCGACGCCCAGCGAGAGCGGCGTGACGTCCAGCAGCAGCAGCTCGGACTTGCGGCCCTGCAGAATGCCTGCCTGGATCGCCGCGCCGAGTGCGACGGACTCGTCGGGGTTCACCGCGGTGTTCGGCGGCTTGCCGAAGAAGCGCGCGACCGCCTCGCGCACCAGCGGCGAACGCGTCATGCCGCCGACGAGAATCACCTCGTCGATGTCTTCCGCGCGCAGGCTGCAGTCCGCCAAGCACTTTTTGCAGGGCTGCAGCAGCTGCGCGACGAGCGGCGCGGTCAGCTGCGCCAGCTGCGTTCGCGAAAGCGAGTCCGCGAAGTGCGCGTGCCGTCCATGCACGCTCGCGAGGTAGGGCAAGTTCACTTCCGCGCGCTCAGCGCTGGAGAGTGTCTGCTTCGCCGTCTCCGCCGCCTCGCGCACGCGCTGCAGCGCTGCGCGGTCGCGAGAGACGTCCGCGCCAGTCGTTTCGCGGATGCGCGCGAGCAAGTGCGCCTGCAGCGCGGCGTCGAAATCCTCTCCGCCGAGCTGGTTGTTCCCGTTGGTCGCGAGCACCTCGAACAGCCCGTCGTTCAGCTCGAGGATCGAGATGTCGAACGTGCCGCCGCCGAGGTCGAACACCGCCAGTTTCTTCGCGCGGCGCGCGCCCTTGTCTGCGCCGTGCGCCAGCGCCGCCGCCGTCGGCTCGTTCAGCACGCGCAGCACCTTCAGCCCCGCGACCGCCGCAGCCGTCTTCGTCGCCTGCCGCTGCGCTTCGTTGAAGTACGCGGGCACCGTCACCACCGCCTCGCGCACCGGCGTTGCAAGCTGCGCTTCGGCGATCTGCTTCATCTTTTGCAAGACGAGCGCGGCGGCCTGCACTGGCGAGACTTCGCGCCCACCGACCAGCGCAACGGCTTGCCCGCCTTTGTCTGCGACGACTCGGTACGGCAGCGTCGCCGCGTACGCCGCGACGTCCGCGAACGTCTGGCCGATCAGCCGCTTCGTCGCGAACAGCGTCGCCTCCGGGTGGCTCGCGGCGAGACGCCGCGCGGCCGCGCCGACCAGGGGCCCGTGCTCCGTGAAGCTCACCACGCTTGGCGTTGTCGGGCTCTTCTCCTCGTTAGTAATCACCGCCGCCGTACCCTCGCGCCAGTACGCGACGCAGCTGTTGGTGGTGCCCAGGTCAATCCCGACTGCCGGGCTGCGCGCGAGCGGCGCCGCTGCGGCGGCGGCCGCGCGCGGCGGCCGGCCCTTTCGCGTCAAACTCATGGAACTGGCCTCTTGCGCTGCGTTTAACAAAAAACTTTATCAAAAATACCGCGCAGCGTTAAAGAGTCGCTTCCATTTCACCTCGCTTCAGCGTCTCGTAGTACTGGAATACGATGCTCACCGCTAGCAGGATGCCGGTGCCGCTGCCGATGACGCCGAAGAAGTCTGCGATGAGCGCGAGCACGCCGATCAGCACGCCGCCCAGTGTCGACGCCGTGTTGATGTAGTACGTCAGCCTGCGCACGACCGACTGATCGCGCAGCCCCTTGATCGTGAAGCCGCTGTCGCGGATGGAGCGAGCCACTTCGCGCGGCCCGCTGCCGCAGATCGCCACGTAGTAGTTCGAGAAGATCGCGCACGTCGTGACCACGAAGGCCGCGTACGTCAGCGTGCGCAGCGGCTGTTGCACATATTCCAGCGCAGAACTCGGCGCGCTGATGTAGTACGCAATCCCGCCGACCGGCTTGTACGAGCCCGAGCCGACCATTTGCCACTGCCCGAGCAAGTTGATTAGCGGGTGGCTGCGGAACGAGGTGTAGAGCAGCCGTGAGATGTTGTGCAGGTAGCCCATCACGAAGCTCTGCAGAATGATCGGCGTGTTGCTCGTGTAGAATAGCCGAATTGGGTACACGCTCGAAATGCCGGCTTGCTGCCGGTGAATGATTGGCACCTCGACGCGGAAGCCCTGGAAGTAAATCACGAGGATCAGAATGAACACCGTCGAGAGAATGTTCGAGCAGTTCGGCGCGTAGCCGCGGTAGAACGCCTCGCGCAAGGCGTGCAACTTGTTCTTGCGGACCACCAACAAGTGCATCAGGGCGATCAACGCGCCTTCGAACTGCGTACCGTTTTCGGTGTGAATTGTCGTCGGCGAGAACGCGCTCCAGATGATTTTCTCGCAAATGTTCGTTGCCAAAAACAGCGAAATGCCGCTGCCCAGGCCGTATCCTTGACTCATTAGACTGTCGAGCATCATCACCAAAAGCCCGCTCGCGACCAGCTGGAACACGACCAAGCAGCTTTGCAGCAGCCCCAGCGGCCCGTACGCGCCCGCCAGCACGTAAGCCAGCGCGCTGCCAACGCAAATCACCAGGCTCAGCAACTGCTGCATCGTGTTCACGAGCATGCGGTCGTCGCGCAGCGCCGAGTTGAACTCAATCAGCCGCGAGCCGATCAGCACCTGCACAACCATCGAGGCCGTGACGATCGGCGAAATGCCGAGCTCCATCAAGGTCCCCTTGTTGCTCGCCAAAATCACGCGCGCCCAGTAGAGCGGGTCGCGGCCGCCGGTGTGCTTCACGCCCAGCAACGGGATCTGGCTGCACACGAGGTACACGAACAAGCAAATCAGCGTCCAAAATATCTTCTCGTTGGGCGTAACTAACTTGTTCGGCTTGTTCACCTCGGGAACAATGCCCTGGAGCGGCCTGAAAAGGTCGAGAAACCGCACTGAAAATTTGCGCAGATCGCGGGCGAACGCCCGCGCAAAACCTACAGTTTTTCATGCGCCGCAGTCTAAACAATTATAAAATTAAATTGACTTGATCGCTAATTACGGCGACAACGCAGCCGGGCTAATTATATGGCGCGTTTAATTCGCTTTGCAACAGCTTCAGAAAAGCGCGGTACAGCGGAGGCTCTGTCAGAAGCCGGAGTCGCAGATCTTCGATGCGGTGCTTGAGTTCGTGGTTCCGCGCGAGCGCCGCGCGGTAGCGCTCCTCCGCCCCGTGTGCCGGCGCGCTGCGCTCCGGACGGTTTTCCATGCGCGCAAAATGTAAAAACAATTATGCGTATATTATGGGCGATTCAGCGAACAGCAGCTGAACGCGGAACACTTGCGTCTTCGCGTCCCAGTGCGTGAGGAAGTCGCGCTCGGCGCGCGAAATTTCGGCTGACGGCAGCCGCACCGCCGCGTTGCGGTACGGGAACGCTTTGACCACCAAGTACTGCACGCTGGGGTCCTCGGGCTCGATGTTCTGCTCAAAGTAGTTCAGCAACTCGGGTGCGGGCGGGGCCGCGACCGCGCCCTGCTCAAACGCAAATTCGCAGAGTACGCCGAAGCGGCCCGTCGCGCGCTCGCGCACCTTGCGCACGCTGGCGCGCGGCAGCTCGTGCGAGTACTTCAGCCGTTTCTGCTGCGGTGCCTCGGGCGAATCGGGCTTTATGTAGTTCTGCGCCTTGCGCAGCTCTTTGATGGAGCGCGCGCGCAAGTTTATTTGGTGCTTCTTGCTCTGCGTGTGCGTCAGGTAGCAGCCTTCGTTGATGTGCAGAGAGTGGCACAGAGCGCACTCGATCTTGCCGACCGCGTTGCGCCGGATGTACGGGTCGTTCTTGAGATCAATCGTCTGCAGCGCAAACTGGCGCAGCCGGTCTCTGCGCTTCTCTTCCAGCTGTCGCTTGGTCAGCGCCGGGCCGCTGCCGGTGCGATGCCCCACGCGTCCGTCGTAGTCCATCGCTAGTCCATTGCAACTCGCACAGCAGTCACCCAAGCAAGCAGCTAAGCAATTTCACAAGGCAATTAATGAAAAAAAAACTGGTCCAGCAGCGGCTACTGGCGAAGCTTACTGCAGAGTTCTTGTTCGCGCAAGCTGTTGGCGCAGAGCGCGCCACGCCGCTTGCAGACGCGCTTGCGGCGCGCTGCGTTCGCGTCGCGCGCGCGAAAGTGTTGCGACTAGGACCTGCAAACAAGACTCTGCTTTGCAAAAAGTGCAGCGCACTGCACCGCGGCGCAAACAAGTTCCGACTCGAAGAACAAGGAAACTTCGTGGTCGTCGAGTGCCTGGTCTGCGCGTACCGGCGGAAAATGCGCAAAGAGAAGTACGCGGAGTACACGCAGACCAATGACTTCGTGCTTGCCTGCTAGCACGTATTCGCCGCCAAGCCCGTGCGAGTTAGGCGAGCAGAGCGGTTGCGCAAACAGCGCTTGCGCAAACAGCGCTTGCGCAAACAGCGCTTGCGCAAACAGCGCTTGCGCAAATAGAGATCGCGCGCAGTCTCAATCGCTATCCTGCGCCGCTTCGTTTTCGCTGAATCTCTCTGACAGCGGTGCGTCGCTGGACAGCTCGCTGGAGGAGCCGCGCTGCGATCCCTGTTCTGCAGAGGTTTCGCGCTCCGCGGCAACTGCGCTCGACGGCGGCGCGCTGTCAAGAGCGCTGTCTTCGGCGCCGCTGACTTGGGGCCTATTGCGTCGTTCGCTGCTGTTTTCGGCGGACGCTTCAGCGGCCATCTGTGATTCGGGCGTTTGCCCTTTGTCTTTCTGTGGTTTGCCGCGCGGTTTACCGTGCGTCTTGCTAGCGGTCGCCTCCGTAGACGCAGCTGCGGACTCCGGGCCGCCGTAGAGTATGTCCTTCACGAGCTTTCTTACGTGCTTCTGTGGCACTTCGGTCGCGGACCGAATCTCGCCGACGTATTTGAAGCCCGCGTCGGGCTTGTATTTCAGCTGGCTGATGACATACTCTGCGAGCAGCGCCGGACGGTCGTTGGCGACGCGCTGCGCCACCAGGCGTCGCCAGTTTTTCGGCGGGTCGGAGGGGCTGCGCAGCAATTTGAGCTTGTGCTCGTGCAGCTTCTTCCTGGCGCATTTGCTGCAGACACTGAAGTCGCACTCGTCGCAGACAAAGACTTTGCCACCCGCGGCGACCGCAAGTCGGCACTCGTCGCAGAAGTACCACTCTGTGTCGCTTCCGTAAGCCTCGTCGTCGCCGCCCGACTCATCTTGCGCGGCGGATGCAATTTGGTCGAAATTCGACTTCAGCTGCTCAGCCGCTCGCGCGCTTAGCGCCTGCTTTTCAGCTTCCTTTGCAGCTTTCAGTTCTTTGCGCTTGCGGGCACGTCGCGTCTCGTTGAGGACGTCTTCGTTTTCCGTTCGCGCGTAAGTTACTATGCTTTTTGCGCGCATGTTGAACGCGTACTCCGCATCTTCCGCGCGCTGCACTTGCTGTTCGTCTGCGGTGGCGTCGATTTCGCGGATCATCACGTTTGAAACCGCCAGCGATTCCTGTGGATTACCCTTCCACGCTTGCGTCTGGAAGTAGCGCAGCAAGAATGCATCGTCGTCGTTTTTGCCGCTGAACGTCTCGAGGTCCTCCGCGCTTGACGAAACAGCAGTCGGGCTCGCCGCCCGGTCCGCTACGTCAGCTAACTCGCGTTCCGCAGTTTCCGGCTCTTCAGCCGGAACAAAACCCGGAATAGCCGCTGCATCGGGCTCGCTGTCAGACTCAGTGTAATCGATATCGACCGTACCCGCTTTCCCGTCCAGCGCGCTGGGAGACGGCGGAGCGAGGTTCAGCTCCGGCAACTCAGGATTGCTTAGCGCCGCCAAAGAGTAGTCTTTCAAAGTGACGGGCGCCGACTCGCAGCGTGGTCGCTTGCGTGCTGCGCCGGCGTCAAGTTGCTCGCCGTCGCTGCTTGAAGACTGGTCCAACAGTGCATTCAGTTGCTCGAGCTTTTTCTGGTATTCGTCCAGCTGACCACGCTGCAGCATCTTCAAGCTGTCTAGCCAGAGGCGTTCGGTGTTGCTGTTTTCAAAAACAACCGAGCTCTCAGAGCTTGATGAGTCCGAGTCGATGGACGGGGTTTCGCACGACATGGCGGCGTAGAGCGAGCTGAAACGGCGCTGAGCTGCGAAGTGCGAAAAATGCTAGATGACTGCGCGGAATTTCGCCGACGCGCAAGCAATTTTAGTTTAAATTCCCCAAATAAGAGTAGCGTTGCGGCGAAGCGGCGGAGCTAGATTTGCGACCTGCCTTCCGCGAGCCGCGCGCAGCAGGCGCGCCAGCAACTTTTGCGCGCCAAAAAGCGCAAAATGTAGTTTTTCTAATTTACCAGATCAGTAGGAAATCGTGCGAACAGCTTTCGCGCCTGTGCTGTTGCTCGCGCTCAGCGGCATGAGTGCAGCAACCGTCACGCTGCGCGTGAACGAAGGGCTGATGGGGTTCTTGGACATGGTACGTCTTACAGCGTGCGACTGTAGCAACGACGCTTGGCGGACAAGCCCGCGTTCCAGTTTAGCCGCGAGCTGATCGCAGAAACTTTTCCGTCGCTCCGGAAAATCGACGTCTGCCGACTGCGGCGCGCGCAATCCGTGGGCTGGCGCAGCGCGCTCTGCGGCGATACCGTGCCCGCATTGCTGTGCTCGCGCAACAACTTCAAAGACTTCGACGTGATAAACGCCGCGGTGCACGGCGAGTTCTCGCTAGTGTCGTGCGCGACGGCATACGGTTGCGCGGACCTAGTGCACGTGTGTGCGCTGTGTTAGTGGTGGAAACGGCTGTAGATGCGGACGTAGCAGTCGCAGGCGAACTGATAAACGAATTGAATTTTGCGGTTGTCGAGCGGGCTGAGGTGCGCGCGCATCTCGTGCCGCGAGAGCTCTTGCAGCGAGTAGTAGCCTTCTTCGAGGCTGTCGAGACAGAATGCGCCGATGCAGCAGTTTGGCGGCAGCGCGGCCGGCGCGTTCGTTCCGCAGCCGTCTTCGAGCGAGCTGCTGAGCATGAGGTGAAGGGAAGAGTCTGCGGCCTCCATGAAGATTTTGACTTGGCTGAGGCAGAAGCTGAGCAGCCCGCCTCCGCTGCGGAGCAGGTCGAAGTAATGCGCAGCCTCTGCGTTGTACTCGGGTCCGAGTTGGACCTGCAGCTGCGCCCAGACGGGGTTGGCGCTGCGGTAGTGCAAGCTTTGCGGGTACTCGAGCTTGCGCGCAGCGAACCAGTCAGTGCACTCGTTAAACGAATTGCCAATCTCGAAGTTCGCGCCGAGTTTGATGTCCAGCAGGTCTAGCGCAAGCGCTAGACTATTCAGCGCGTCGGTGCTGGTGAGCAAGTCTTCGTGCAGCTGAAAGACGCAGCGCGCGCGAAGCGCGCCTTTCGCGCCACTTAGAAACGGCACAACGGGCAGCAAACCGGTCGAAAACGAGGCGCCGGTGAGCGTCAGCCGAAAGCAGTTATCGCTGTCGCGGTACTGGTC